GAGAGAGAATCTTATTTCAAAATTTATGTGCTATGTAATGTGTTTTGTTTTGTAATGTATTCTGTAATGTATTCTTGATTTTATTACATACTTTTTATTTTTTATTTTCAATTTATCTCTCAATTGACAGCATTATTAGAAACGACGGCTGCCGATTCAGTCTTAGTAACGGATAATATTGAAAGAACACCTCCACGTCGTGGAAGACCTCCTCGCATACGTGGTCGCAATCTGAGTAGAGGTAGATGATTTTTTTTCCAATATTCACTTAAAAGTAACTTGTTTTGCGAAAAAATAACTGGTTTCATAGTTCGCATTTGCTTTATAAAAAATATTGTACGAAATATTAAATATTTGTACGAAATATGAAAATATGAAAAATATTTGAATAATTTGCATCTCAGGTGAAAAAGAAATGATTATAGATAACTTTTGTATTCTAGCTGTTGAAATAACTGCAACGTCGCAGACCCAAGTAACCGATGAAGGTATGTACTTCATATAATTGTGAATAAAAAAATATATACGTACATTTGTATTTATTGATCTTTTTGTTATATTTAAGAATTAGGATTTAATATGTTTATTATTTTAATACATATGAAGATTTGAATGCTGGACTTACGGTTAGAGGTGGCAGAAGTCGCGGTAGGCCTCCTAGCCGTCGCAGACGACGCGGTAGACTTGCAACATTAGCTTACGAAATTCGAGAAGTGGGAGGTAAGAAATTATTTATTTATTTATCTCATAATGTAGAATTTAATATAGATGAAAGAGAAATATTTATAAATTTTTGTATTCTAGTTACTGGAACGTCCCCGACTCAAGTCAACGCTACTAATATCTTAGAAAGTATATATTTCATAATTGAAAATTAAAGAATAGATTATAAGACTGTAAGCAAATTGATCAATCATAGTCAAGTATTCTCGCAACGTAATAAAAATGTTTGATTGTGATTTATCGATTTGCTTACGGCCTTACGATTGAAATTTTTTAACATGAAAGGGCCTTCAAAATTCAATATATTTATTATATATATTTTATTTTAATAGCTGCGTGTGAAGACATTCGTTTTCTTAATTTGAATGCTGGATTTGCGGCTAGAGGAAGGAGAAGTCGTGGCAGGCCTCCTAGCCGTCGCGGACGACGCGGTAGACTTGCAACAATGATATTAAATGATATTCAAGAAGTGGAAGGTAAGAAATATTTATTTTTGTTATTTGTCGCTGATGCATTTGTCTGATATGTTATTAAGTTAACATCTCATAAAGCTTTCTTTTGCAATAGATATTATGTTCTTTCTCTAGTTAACTGTAATTCATTGCAATTTATCATTTCAGAGACAACTACAAATATTGAAAAAAATAAAAGCGAAAGAACACAGCGAGTACTCCAAGCAAGTTTGGAAACTATTAGAAACGATGAAAATGAAGTAATAAACGAAGGTATATGTATATGTACAGAAGGGGACAGAAATACCTTCCTACGTGAATTGTTGCATATATTGTTATAATAATATATATTCCTATATGTGCGGCAATTCATGTGGGAAGGCATTTCTGTCCCCTTCTGTACATATTTTGCTCATCATACTTTAGTAATATTATTATCAATTACTAAAATTTTCTTATATTGCTAGATGATCGCATTTTTGACACACCAGAAGATGATTACGGTGCTCTTGGTTTGTACGACGGCGAACAGAACAATGAACTACCATTTCATTCTGCAAGTCCAGTATCTACATCTACATCAAACGAACGCACACGAGGTACATGTTGTACATGCTTGAATACAACTGCTACTCATATATTTGTGCCATGCGGGCATTTATGTATTTGCAATGATTGCAAACAGCAAATTGAAGACCAAAAATGTCCGTTATGTCGAGAGAAATTTCTTCAATGTATGCGCGTTATTATGACATAATATTTAATTTAAGTCCTTATACAGTATTTCTTTCCGTCAAATGTGTTTTAGTGCCAGTGTTTTAGAGATCAATATAGAAAAAAAGTAGATATTTCAGTATTCACGGAACTCATTTTTTTTTTGTTGACAACTGGTTAATGACCTTATCAAAATCGAAACTTACACTATATTTCACTTGCTATGTTTATTTAATATTTTGTTTTATTGTTAGTAGTTTATATATATTAAGCCTTATTATATTACGGTATATTAGAAAATTTCGATATATTATTATCGGATTATATATATATAATATGTTGCAATAACCAACAATGTTAAATGAAATGTTAAACATAAAAATCCTAAAGTTTTAAATAATACACAACATAGTAATATTGATTACTAATGTGTAATAATGTTATAAAAGTTTATGCTACTTATGTAAATTAATTTTTGTTTTTAAAATAATATTTTGTTTTAGTTTAACACACACACACACGCGCGCGCGCGCGCCTTATTATATATTTCAAGTATGTCAGAAAATTTCGACTATATTATATAAAGTACGTTACTATAACAAAAAGAAAAAAACTGTATCAAATTAAATGTTAAACATAAGAATCATTTATATGTTTTAAACATAAAAAAAGTTTCAAATAATACAAGATAGTAATATTGATTAGAATAATATTATCAAAGTTATGTAAAAACCAACTTGTATTCTTTAAATAAAATTTAATTGAAATTGATAAAATTTTTTATTTATTGTTGCATAATCACATAAAACTAATGTCAAACGTTTAATAAATAATATGTCTTATAAAAAATATTTGTTCAAATAATTTGCATCTTATAGATGAAAGAGAAACGATAAATAATTTTTAGCGCCAAAAGAAATTCCTTTAATGAATATCTTTGAATGAATGCGTTCAAGCAAGGATTGGAAAATGATTAAAAAAGAAACCGATATGATATCGGCAGAATATCCCGCTGTATTGCATTTTATTGTTTATTTGAAACTTACTTGGCTTTCATTAAAAGATAAAGTCTTTGTTTTTGGTACATATCTATATAGACAAATTATAGACAATTAATTTTGTGGAAAGTTTTTATTTTGCAATTTTTAATTGCTCAAACTTAGGGCCATCCAGACAAACTTAGCATAATCGCATAAACATATGCATAAAATAATTGATTGAGCTATTTCCTTATGCATTTGCTTATAAACCAATGAATTTCCTTATGCATAAGTTTATGCGACTATGCAAGTTTGTTTGGATAGGCCCTAATTGTTTCAACTCTGTTGTGTGTAACTACTGTAACTTTGAGAGCCACAGGCCTTTAAGTTTAAGAGAGTTTCTCTAACTTATTCTAATATATGATATAAATGTATGATATAACATGATATATAAAGACCTTTTTAAAATTCTAATAGTGTATTCTGAGCCAAATTGTGTTTTTGCATGGTTATTATATAAATATTTACTTTCTATCTTTATTTTGCGATTCTGAGATTTTATACATAATACAATATATGCAATAATTTTTAACAATTGTAATTCCACATGTATGCGTTAATATATTGCAGTATTTTATAAATAATTAATCGATAAATGATTCGTATTTATTATACAGCCTTAACCAAATAAGGCAAAGTACCTGACTTATTGTATGTATTTTATATATAATACCAGAGATTTGTTATATTACCTAAATATAAGTTGAGTTGAGAAGTTGATATCAATTAAATGTACCGGAATGTCTTTGCTATAATGGTACGTACAATTTATTTTATCCAATCGCATTGAACATTTAGCTACAAATTGATGGATAACGTCAAATTTTTTTTTTTCTGTTTATAACTATGAGTAAGAATGACTATGAGTTATATCTTTCAAAAAGACGTATCATTATAGAAATGGCAGCATTTTATATTTTAAGAAAAATGTATTTTTCGCATATAACGTAATTAGAGATTCCAATTTGTGCAAAGCTATAAGATGCCAAAGATACTTTTACTTTTTTCTGTAATACTGTTACGAATATGTACTAAGTGCTGTGATAGTTTTATACTTCTAAGTAATATAGGTCATTTATATGAAGATACAGATTTAATTTCTGCAAATGTATGTTTCTTGAGCCAAAGATATTTCAATTCTTATTTTCACTTTAAACTATTGTTTAAATAAATAT